ACATATTTGATTGTAAACCCTTGTAACAAACATTAACTCTTTCAAAGTGCATTCATAGTACTTAGTCCACATAAGAATTTATCACACTCTCAGAATATTCTGGAGAGAGACAACACAGTACAACATCAAAAGAACTTTTAGAATTTGATAGTAGACTTTTTTTCTTTACAATTGACTTTATAAATAAAAGATAAATGTTTTATTTGTTAAAGGTAGAATATAAATATGAATGGTCTGTTAATCACAGAATCACGGAATCATTTAGGTTGGAAAAGACCCTTGGGAACATCGAGTCCAACCATCGGCCTGACTCTACAAAGTTCTCCCCTACACCATATCCCCCAACATCTCACCCAAACGACCCTTAAACACATCCAGGGATGGTGACCCCACCACCTACCTGGGCATCCTATTCCAGTATCTGACCACTCTTTCTGTCAAAAATTTTTTCCTAATGTCCAGTCTGAACCTCCCCTGTTGCAGTTTAAAGCCATTCCCTCTTGTTCTATCACCTGTGAGAAGAGACCAGCACCAACTTCTCTACAATGTCCTTTCAGGTAGCTGTAGAGAGTGATGAGGTCTCCCCTCAGCCTTCTCTTCCTCAAACTGAACAGTCCCAGTTCCTTCAGTCACTCCTCATAAGATTTATTGCCCAGGCCCTTAACCAGTATCAGTTTGCATCCTCTAAAATTTGATATTGTTTGCTACTAAAATCTCATCTGATATTTTTCCGAAAGAGTAGTGAACATTATACAAGTAAAATCTTGACTGTTGTCTTTTTCCTGGTTTTTTTTTTTTTTTTTTTTTTCAGTATAATTCAAACTCTGTTGAAGTCAATGGAAATAGGTCCAAGGACTTAGAAGGGCTCAGGTTCATGGAAATTATTTTGTAAATATAGTAGTTATGGACTGCGTTATCAAAAAGAAGATTAGAATACCTGGGTTACAAGCTGGGGAAACTCCGTAAATGTGGATGGTTCAGCATATGTAGAGTTTGAGTCCTGTTTCAGTAACAATTTTTCACATTATTTTGAATCATCAGATGGCAGGCCAGCTGTCCTACTTAGCTCTGTAATACCACTGAAAGTCCGACTATCCCAATCTACATACACTGTTGCCAATGCCCATCTGCTTGTAATGCTGAATAGTAGCTGAAAAAAATCAGGGACAGAACAAATAGAAATCTTAATAAGCTCATTTTAGCTGTGATACTGGATTTTGTAAGCTTCCATGAATTTTAAATACAAATAGATATTATACATTTATCCAGTTTTAGTACAACATGGTAGTAATAGAAAAACTGTGGAACCTAAAGTGGAAGCCAGTGTTGCCCTAATCATGTACTGAGCCATTTAGTAGCTGTGTATAATTTATTTTAATTCAAACTGTGGACAAGATTTTCAGCTAATTTGAACTAGTGGACTTCTGTTGCTGATTGGCCTTCAAAAATCTGTTTTGCATTGACTCATCTATTTACTTACATATTTAAAAAGGTGGTCAGTTTCCTTTAAATAAGAACTATCTATCAAAACCAACATAAATGTTACTAAGGAACATCTGAGCCTGTTCTTCTTAAGTCACATAAAACTTCTGATAGCTTAAAAAAAAAGATTGGAAACCCAAATTCACCTCATAGCTGAGGACATGCATAGCTAGTTTTGGTCCAAACCAACAAACATTAGAGAAAGTTTTAAAATAATAAAAGTCTGTGGAATTTGTAGGAGAATATATGCAACAAAAATGCATTCATAATTTACCGTACTCTATGAATGCAGTGGGAGTAATTGTTTCCTTTAAGTACTTGGCAAACACTGCTAATATCCATTCAAAAAAGTAATTTTCCACTCAGAGAACTTCTTTTTGTAAGCACTCATGGAAGGAACAGCCATCAATACAATGCCTTCTCTGCAGTTCTCCCTGGCTACATTCATGTAGTCAAGGCAGAAGCCTTAACTGTAGAAGAAATAAACAACTGGTATCAAATCCACAATTAGATGCAGAAAGATCATATTCTCATGAGAGCAGAAGTTCATGGTTATTATGTAGTTGTTGTTAGTTTCTGGTTTGTGTCTCTAAGCAAAACCCTTTTTTAATTTGAGGCAAAATTCTACAGTCTTCTTGAAATAAATTTGCAAGATTAAAAGAGATTCGCATGGTAGAAGAAATCACCTGTTCTTTAATCTCTGTGTGAACTGCAGTGTTGTCTTTTCTGTAATTAAATAAATTGTATTTTATGGACTGGACAAGCCTCATTAGTTAAATTGGTCAGCTGGCCTCAGTGCCAAAACTTGCATTTGGAGTGTTCTAAAGAAAATTAAACCATAAGATGGTTAAGTGATATACATGTGCCTATATATATATATATGCACCTTATTAGTAAAGGAACATAGATGCAGCTGAAAAAATAGAAAATAGTTTACTCAACCATGCCTGCACCTATGGTATATTGTCTCCTATTCATGTAGTTTCAGCTTGTTGCTTGTCTGTACGATGAATTGATGAGAAACTTTTTCTGTTTTAGAAAGTGCTAAATTTTCAGTACAGTACTGTTAGTGTCTTTTTACTGTTAGATTCTGTTAGGTACCAAAAACTTAAATTCCAATCACAGAATGTAAATGTCATTAAAATATTTATTCATAATTCTTAGTATTGGTATTGCAATACAATTTAGATGTCACCTGGATGCTCTCTTTATTTTGTGGTTTGTAGAAGCAAAAAGTAAAATATTCTTTTTACAGCATTTCTCTTAAATATGGATTTGGATACCTTACATCTCCATATTTACAATATATCTGAAATTCAATGAAATGGGATTTAAGAAGTTCTGAATGATTTTGCAGAGTAGTTGACAATTTTTCATCAGAGCACAGATGCTTTTCTCTTTGAAGCAGCACAAAATGCAACAAGATTCTACAGAATTTTTTGTATTTTCAATATACTGTGTAAATGAATTGATAGAAATAAGCTTGTCATCATAACAAACATTAAAATTGCCCACATCCAGGTATCTACAGCTGGGTTTTCCTGTAGTCAGAAATGTATATAGCTATCACTTTTACACATACTACCAGATATGCTAGAGGCGAGGGGAGAAAAAAAACAACATTGGACTGCTGTGTTCAGTTACAAATATCAACTCATTATAAATAAGTAAATACTTGTACATGCATAGAATGCAGCTGATCAGTACAATTCTTCATCAATACTTTTGCCTGTAGCTGCACAATTTACATTTTTCAGAAAAATGGTTTAAAATTCAGTTTTAGCTGTGGTTGCCTTTTTTTTTTTTTTTTTTTTTTTTTTCCCCAAACAAAATGGCACAGAGAAATTGTGCATTTCTGATCAGGCAACTATTTGTTACATATTCAGCCTTCAAGAAGAGTACTGAATATTAAGGATGAATATTGTATTTTCTCTGTGTTTGTTGCTTCTTTCAGATCAACCTTGCCTCTCATTCAGATTAGCTTTGTGCAAAGCATCTGTCAGTTACACTCTTTCACACTTCATCAGTATCTTGATACATCTTGAAGTTTTAAGAACTTCTTCAATTCAGTCTGCTTTTTAGGAAACCGTATTTTTTGAATGGTACTTGAAAGTAGAGGCATTTTTTTTTCATTTGTAGTTTTTAAATTTTATTCTTCCAATGCATAAATATTACTAGGGCAACACAATGTAGTTGTTTTATATAGATTTGGGAATATAAGTATTTGTCTAAAAATATTTGCTATAATCTGACAAAGTACCATTAATACAAAAGTTCTTGTCCAAAAGATCTTAAAGGACATGTGGGAGGAAGAACTGAGACAGAAATGTCTTTCTGTATTTTTCTACAAACAAAATACAAATTCACTTGCCAGAAAACAAAAAGCATGAAATGAAACCATGTCTTAAGCTCAAGAAACACAGAAGATGGAAGTGGCACAAGCCTTTTTCCATCCATTGGTTAACTTTTTGAAAAGTGGATCAGAAAAACATAGGCATGCATTCTGCTGCTTTATGCAGATGAATTGTCAAAATGCTGTGTGCCAGTTTAATTAATTAGAGATCTAACAATTCTTTCTACAGAAATTCTTTCTACATGCATAAGAAATTCTTTCAAATGCTTTTTAGAAAATGCATAACTGATATTTCAAGATTAAGTAATTATTTACCATTTTATAAGCACTTCTAGAATATCAAGTAAAAACATTTAAAATAATTATTTTTAAAAATCTTTTCATCAGTGGGACTTTATTTTCAAAGATGACAGCTGGACCAGACTAATGCCTTATATACCAGATACAGTGGTAACTGATCCTGTAACTTTGTGTGTATTAAATACTTTGTATAATTGGATCATAAGGTTGTGGTTAAATCATTTGGAAAAATTAGCAAAGCCATAATTACTCACAAAAATGGCGAACATCTCTTATGTATACACTAATCAAGGATATGTATGACATGCACAAGGATATGCACTACTGTACTGCATGCTTTATACAATCGTATAAAAGTATACTTGGCAGCATTTTATATGGCAAATAGTGAAGCAGAACTTCGCAACATTGTGAACCTACTACACTTACACCTCTTGGGATCTTCTTAGTCTCCATTTAAACAGTTTTGATTACATTAAAAATAATTCCTTCCACATGGCACATATTCTAAAAATGTTCAGTATTATATTTTTTGCAATTGCATATGTAATTGCATACATTAGAGTACTGTAGATTAACAGTGCTACTGTATTATCTGAAATTTTTCTCATTGCAGATCATAAGCTCTGTTTAAGTTTTAATTAATTACCCTATTATCCCTTGTCGCATTCTCACCAGAGACATGGAACATAGCTAAGTGTTGCAACTGCAAGTCCACCTCTCTTATTCAGTTTTTATTGCTAAATTTAGAAGCTTCTTCTTCTTTTATTTGTACCGATGGTACAAACACCACCAACAAAAAAAGAGCAGGTTCACTGCTTAATGATTGAGTTAAGGCAATGTCTAAAGAGTTTTTGGAACTTACCCAAAGTCTGTTGAAGGCAGGGAATTTCAGTAGGCTTTGGATAAAGAGTAGAAGTTAAGAGGAGCATGTATCTTCCTTCTATGTTGTCATGTGTTATGTATAGTTTTTTATTTTTCTCTTTTGATTTTTGTCCTCACTGAATACTGCTTTCACCTAGAGTGAGAAATGAGGCATAGTTATTTTAATTGGTTTCCAATTCATTAAAGCTGGTGAATGCTGAGTCCCATTTTAATAAGCACCCAAACCAGACAAAGTGATAATATTTAGACCAAGAGAAACCAGGGAAGAGAGGAGAAGTAGTATGTGAAAGAGTGAAACAAAACAGATGTAATGAACTGTTACTAGATATCCTGGTGCATAATTATTCCGTTAATGTTTAACTACTCAAAAAAAACCATTATGATAAATAAATATATTAAAAAAAAAAAAAAAAAAAGAAAAAAAAGGAAAACCTATCTGTTTATTACCAATCAATTAACAACTTTTGTTTTCTGTTATGAGTGAAGAAAAGTCACGAATGGTAAACAGCAATATTGAATAATCAATTAAATGGAAGCACCTTAACTATTTATTGTTACCCTGTTTTTCTCAGATATACTTCCTGCAACCAAGAAAATTTTCTTGAATACTTGAATAATATCTAGTACATTTAAAACAATTCCAGAGTTCTGTATACCTTCAATCACTGTAGCATCAGAGCTTCTCAAATGAACTAAAGCAAGCAATTTATGAATTACGGATTTTGGTTAAGGTAAGCAATTTAGTGAACATTTTAATTTTTTCTGGCAATAAGTACAGTATTCATTGATAGCTCAAATACTTGTTAGCATCCTCTAATATTCTTCCTTATTGTCAGAATATGAGATGGAAAAAACATTTCCCTTAAATTAACTTCATGCGTGATTTTTAAGGTGAGGACAACTACTCCAGATAGACATTGTTCAATAGCAACCCAAACCAGCACATAATTTATCAGGAAAGAAGTTAAGCTTTTAGGCTGGTGTTTTGTGAACAATTTGAATCTTTTCCATCTCATGAGTCCACAATAAGAGAAATGAATTATAAAATGCCAGGTTGTTAAAAAGATATAGATATAGATATATATATATAGAGAGAGAGAGAGAGGGAGAGAGAGAGAGAGAGAGAGATAAAACAGGTGTTAATTACATAAATCTATCCATCTCCCCATCTGGATATTAATGGATAAAGCATGGTTGAGTACCAAGCCACTGCTAAGATAAATGTATTTTTTTGCTGTTGTTGCGCCTACAAAATAGGGTGGTCTACTGCAAAAAAGTTTCCATATATGCAAACTATAATTATAAGCTACAGCCATCATGTATTGGTGGATGAAATGGTTAAGGGGAAAAAAATCTTCAGGATACATTAATCTTTCCCAAGAACGTGCTTTGTTTTATCAAGATACAGCTTTAGCAACCTGATATCTATGCAGATGCTGATCTTGGAAAAAGAGCACAGTGAACAGTGCAGTTGTCAACTGACATGAGATGAGGTGAAGTGGATGTCATTTCTGTACTTTAACTCATGGCATTTTATCAGATTCCCAGTGGTTTGCTGCAGACATTAAAAATGGTAGGAAAAAAAATGAGATTACTTCTAAGTAACCTAGAAAAAGATTTTTGGTTCTACTGTAGAATAAGAAAGTGTTGAAAGAAATTAATTTGTGAATTTCATGCTGACTGATATGACTGTATGTAATAAAGCAGACTATTTTAATTACATCCTGGGATGATGTAGACTATTAAATAAAAATGTTAACAACCTCCTAGCAACCAAATCTAAACCCATGTACAAATAAATGTAAGATCATGATCATGGAGACTCTTGGCTATTAAGATTGTCTACAGCTTTATGTCTAAATCACTGAGGTTATAATTGCGAGTCTTTAGCGTCTTCAGTTATAAGACATTCTCAGTTATCAGGTAGGGATTTACTCACAAACATTTTAACTTCTGAAATGTAAGTTTAAGAATTGTATGGAATATCCTTGAAGAAAATATATTTTTGCTAACTAACTTTAAAAGTGAAAAAAGCACATTTGGGAAACTTAAACAGATACTGTTATCATATGGCTATATGGGGAAATCTTCATCAAAGTTCATTAAATGTTAGATATGTATCTAAGTCTTGATTTCAGTTCTGTAGCACATGATACTATCTGCTGAAAGCCTAGTAAAACCAAGATAATTCAGTTTTAACAGCAAATACTCATTGTTTAGGAAACTATGATATTTAAGACCAAAGTCTGGCTCATATTAATCTAATGGTAATCTGATTAAAATTATTATATTTTGTTCACTATAAATCAAATTATGAACATTTTTAACAAAATACATGGTATGAATTTATCGTGAAGCCCATGTTCTGATAGCAGTTGCAATAGAACTGCAAAAATAATAAATTTCTTCACCACAGAATGATTCAAAAATATAAGAGCCTGATTCTGATCCCAAAATAGTTTTGAAATACGATGTACACTTGGAAAGCAATTATTTTTTTTTTTCCCCAAAAAAAATATGACAAAAATGAAAATGAATGCATCCTTAGCTCATATAAATTGGCACCGGTCTATTGATTTCAGTGAAGCAATGCAATATTAAATCAGATGTGGCCTTTAAATACAAACAAAACCCAACTGTCACATACAGTTATTGTGCTAGTTTAAAATAAGCAATTAAATACTGTGATATACAGATGGTGATACAGGGTTTTGTAAAATGAGTTCTGATAAATAATGTATATACAGGGAGATGGTATTTTTTCCAGAGGTATCATTTTAGTTGTCATAAACATATTTAAAAAGTTCTAGTATCACCATCGTTTATCTGGCTCAACTATCTGGTTTTATCGTTTTACTAATTGCAGAGCTGCCTTCAACTAAGGACAAATATTATCCTATGCCAATATATTCATGCTGGCAGAAACCTTGCATGCGAAGGAGCCAGTAATATAGAAAGGCCCAAGACTATTAATTTTTAGAGCCATTCATGGAAATTCTATTTAGTAAGGGAATGATATAACATATGCAACAGGTAGATCATCCACATGCCTACTTCTTTTTTATTCCATACTTACAGTGCCTTCACCATTGTAGATATAATAGCTTGTAATTTATACACTATCAATTTAGTAATAAAGTCAAGCCCCGAGTAAACACACAGAACAGTTTGCAACATGTTTAAAAATTCTAATCAAACATCATAGATTTGTTGTCATGGATTAAATGGGCTGAAATGTGGTAGTTTCTTCTCTGAATATAAGAAATATTTAAAATGCATTAATTTTTTGTATAATTAAAAATTGTACAATAAGACTGTATAATAGAAAATGTACTTTTAGGGGGAGACACTGTGAAGAGAAAACCAGCCTTTTTTATGGCTTTGGCAGAACCTGGAAAGAAATCTCAGCACATGCTTTGGGGGTACAGTGTTTTTGAGGAGGTAAAGTTTTGAGAAAGAAACTAATTAAGTGACATACTGTGTTTGAATAGCTGGAATAGAAGGTTTGTCAATTGTTGAAGGTCTATGGAAAGTCTTGATTTTACTGTAAGTTTGACTAATGAAGATTTTGGAGGCTGGAAATCTAAGAGTAACTGGAAAGGTAAAGTGTTCTCTGGCATATGGAGACTCTAGAGCAGATGTGATAAGCTTTGTTTAGGACATTTACAGTTGTTTGCTGATGATCAGACCTGGGGGGGAAAAAAAAAACAAACAAAAACAACCAAAGTTAAATCTCAAATTAGAGCATTACCAGATTATTTCTCTGATATGTTAATGAGCTAATTGACAGAGGTCTGGTTTTTGTTTATCTTACTAGCCAAGTCTGTGTATTCTTAGAAAAAAGATTGAGAAAAAAAAAGCTTTTAAACATGCTTAATTACCTAAGGCATATGTGTAATCACTTATCTAAGAAAAGCTATAGATGAGCTTTATCAGATTTTGACTATTACAGATAATTCAGTGTTACAAGCTACCACAGAAGAATAATTCTGACCTAGAAATCTATGAAAGAAGATTTATGTTAAGGCAGTGATACACCGCAGTAGAAAATGAGGAACCAAATTTATGCATTTCAATCACATTTCTTCACTGAAAGTATCAAACCTGGGAATGCAGAAGTGGCAATAGAAACAGAAATGAAGGCAATCCTACTGCGCTTGAAATTATTCCAAGGGTGTCAAGTTTGTTAGTTTTACAGCACACCTTCCAGAAGTGTTTACAATGCTAATACAGTTATATAAAGAGAATCCTGTGATTTTAAAAGCTGCTGAGTCACATTTTGCTATCACCCAAGTGGAGCAAACAGTTTCCAATACAGACAGATTGCACAGTGTAATGTGAAATTACAAATAAACTGGACACATCCACATGTGTCCAAGCAGAAAGAACGTTAATCAACGTGTCAAACAGCTGTTAAGAAGAAAATGCTATATGTCATGGGAAAAAGATGTAAAATATTCTTCCTGGTAAACATGCTTTTCACAAGTGAATGTGAAGAGAGTTGCATTAGAATCTATTAACATGCCTTTTAGAAAACCATGCAATGGAATAAAAATAAAATACTTAACATCTTTGCTGCATAGTAGCAGTGTTTCAGAAAGATACTGTGATCAAACAAGAGATTATAAAGAAGGAAAACTTAAAGCATGACATTTGATAGTCATATGACACTAGGAATTAGCCAAAACATTTGAAAGCCTTTTTGCTTTTTTTTTTTTTTTTTTTTTTTTTCCTGATAAATTGTTAATTCTTCAAGAAAAGAAGAAGAATCATCTGATTTTTTAAAGTTGTGCTACCCAGGAGAGTCACTGAAACTACAAAGAAAATTATCTCACATTAGAAAGGCATAAAAGCACTGGATCAGGAAATAGCAGATTTAATTTATTAGAAATGCACTGTCTGAAGAAGCTATTCTAAAATACTCCACCCACTCATAAATTAGTATTAGGGGAAAAAAAAAAAAAAAAAAAAAAAAAAAAAAAAAACATAAAATCAATCTTTTTTGTGAAAAAATAGTGTAATGCATTTTCTTATGGAGTGTAATTACATAGATTATGCTGTAACTGGACTCAGATATTCTTTCTCTGACTGATAACCATAAAAGCATCCTGGTCTCTTGGA